TATGTCTGGGAGCTCTGGTGGCCTAGTGGCAAGAAGCTGCACTGCAATCCTGAAGGTGAGTGGTTTGAATCCATCAGATGCTCTGCTGGAGAAGGAGGGTCAAACTCCTCCTGTGCCAGTCAGATCCAATTCGACGGTACACCAAATTTAAAAAAAATTTATTTAAAAAAAACAAACCCACAAACCTATTATGTCACTCAGACATGTCCAGTTTGATAATTCTGTTAAATTTAGTACCAGTGAGAGGTTGTTTTCTCGATGAATGAGTACCATTAAACTCATTACACAGTTGAACAACTAGGTTAACCTCATGTGTTTTCTTCTGGACCCCAGCTATCACAAAGTTTCTGCTTGAGTTCAGTAATTGTCCTTAACTCTAAGACAAATCGAGTTTTTGCAGTATTTTTAAACACAACATTCTTCATGGCTTTTCTTCTGTGATTTGCAGGAACTACTGCCACCATCTTGCTTACTCAGACCGGCAAGAAGAGGAGGTCTGAAGATAGAGCTCAGAAGAAGGGTTGGAGAATGTGGGGGTAGAGGGGAGAATTGAAAAAAAAAAGAGTTGGAGAAGAAAGAGATCTGCTAATATCATCTGAGTCCCTGGATCAAGCTGTGCCTGCAGCAACGGTCTTGTTTTTTCCCTAGTTAAGCCAATAAATTCCTTTTTGGCTTTAGGCATTTTTAATTATATTTTTATTCATTCAGAAGTTCTAAGTAGTAAAGGGGGGAGGAAATAGCATATCTTACAAGTATTGTTATTACTGTATTTTATTTCTTAAAATAAATTTATTAAACCCAAAACCTGGAACAGCTTTGTGAATGAACCCAAGAAAGTGAACTTTTGAATCTTATGTTATTATCATGTCAAATTTTTATATAAGTAGATTCCTAGAAATTTCTCAAGAATTAATGAGACAGAAAGAAGTAAATAAAGCATTTAATGGTTTTTTTTATTGACATTCTTGATAAGGGCAAGAGTTTAATAAAGATGCAAGCATCTTCAAAACTCAATTCATTGTACTTAAATCAGAACCCAATGATAGCTGACCCTCCACTGGACTTTCAGAGGCTGTAAATCTCACAAGAAGAGACTACCCATCTTTCTCTTACTGAGCCACTGGTAGATTTGAGGAACCAAAGAGGCACTGGCACTTTAAAGTTAACAGTGCACCAGACACAAAGTCCTCAGAAAGACCCAAAAAAGGCAAGAATAAGAGGAATGATCACAATATTCTAGAATGCTAACAGGTCCTCCCCCCGAAATGCAACATTGGGAGTTCAAACCTGGCATAGACTTGCCAAATCAAATCAAGATCAAAATTAAACATAGACCTTCCTGAAAGGAGATGAACCACAAGTACTTTTATTGATTTCACTTCTTCGGCATTCATTCAAATTAATTTAACCACTTGAATGGCAGGAGGTGTGATTTTTGTGAAAGAAGTGTCCTTAACTTTGATGTGGACATGAAGATCCTTCCCAACACTCACCCCACTGAGATATACTTCACAATCATAAAGTGAAGGAAGCATTTATGACTACCACGGGTACTATCTCTGAATACTCCCAGGTATGCATAGAGAGTGGGAGCTAGGAACACTAGCAGGTCACTCATTTATGCAAGATTTCAGCAAACACTTTTCTGGTACTGAAGCAAAATATGTGTGAAGGGACTACAGTGTTTAAGAAGTTCATGGAATGAGGGTTGCAGAGTGGATTATATTTGGGGTGGAGATGGAGTTGAGGGGTGTGCGGTGGGGGGGTGGGATTGTGTACCAATGAAGGAGTTTTTCTTTTGCTTTTCAAGGAGAGGAGTTAACAGGCGGGGGGCGGGGTGGTGGGGTGGAGAGAAAAGTGCAACAATGAATGAATGGAATTCCAAAATCTCTGTAGATGTTTGTTGAAATAAAAAAAAAAAAAAGGAAGAAGTTCAATTTCTCTAAAAAGTAGAGAGTAGGGATCCTTCTAGGGCCTTAATTCATCTTATCTCCTTGAAATAATAGGGTCAATAACTCTAGGAAAGCTTCTTTCCATTTTTAATTTCGATAAGGCACCAGATGACACTCATGTTGACCCAAAGGTTTTGACCTGTGAACTCAGAGATATCTCAAATTCCACCTACCAGGCATAAGGGTCGATTAGATTTGATAGTCAGCCCTGTTGATGTTGGTGTCAGAAGCCATCAAAGTCGACTATGACTCACAACAATCCCCTGTGATAGAATAGAACTACCCCTAAAGTTTCTGAGGCTGTAATCTTCACAGGCTGAGATGTGCCTAACCGGAGACATGGTATTTGCAATTGCTTCATTTGCATATGAAACTTTCACAATGAGTAATGAAGATCAAAGAATTGTAGTGTTGGTGAAGAGTATTGGACATTCAATGGACTTCCAAAAGAACAAACGAATCTATCTTGGAAGAAGTGCAGCCCTATTACTCCTTAGTGGGAAAAGTGGTGAACTCTTCCTCGGGAGGGGTCTTTAAAAACGAAAATCAAACTTTGAAAAAAGTGAGTCAGTGAAGGAGAGGAAGACCCTCAAACAGAGGGATTGCACCAATGGTTTGAGTACAACAGAGATTGTGAGGATGGCCCAGGATCATACAGGGTTTTAATCTTTTGTACATACGGGCACTATGGGTCCAAAGAGACTTAACAGCACTTAAAAACAACCATTTTACTGAAATTGATCACCAGGTCTTCCTCTCTGAAGCCAATGAGTGGCTTCAAATCACCAACTGTTATTTAGATCAGCAGCCAAGCACCTAACCATTGCATCAACAGGACTCCTTAGTCAATTCTAAGCCTTGTAAACATTCTAATACTTCCTCAAATTTCCATAGGGGCTTACTGTACAAAATCACAAGCAGTACAGATGGCCAAGGAGATGACCAACCACCAGCTGCTGATGTAACTCAATTTAGTGATGTTGAATATCGATGCTAATGGGACCCAGACTTCTCTGCTAGCAAAACAGAAGGCCAAGCTCTCACCAATTAATAGCCATCCCCAATGACAAAAGAAAAACTCCAGACTCAATTTCCTGACAAACATACTGATCCTTATTTGCCTACTCATATGGTTTTAGGGGTTGTTTATTGTCTCAACCAGCCTCACTGCACTATTAATAGGCATTCACAAAAGAAAAAGCCCAAGTTCAACTTACTGATCATACGTTTTTTAATTTGTCCTAAAAGTGAGGTTTTTTCTGTCTTCCCATGTAAACATATTTTTATGCCTTTCCATGTATTCTCAATGAACATTTATATTGAAAGGTTTTGTTTTATCCTGTTACAATAAAATACATGATGCCAGAATCAGCAAAGCAATATGGATTTTCTATCAAAGCAATTACCAGTTGTCTTTGCGAGAGCTTTTTACTGAAAAATTACCCACTTGACCAGGAAAGATAAGTCTTTCTTGGCTTCTCTGAAAATTTATAAAATTGACACTTCTTAAAATAAAATGAAATTAAAATTATAAATCATTTTATATGCACCTTGTTTTCCATTACTATTTTGTTCAGAGTAGGTAAAGAGGACTGAGTGAGAAACCCTTGCCAAAAATAAAAATCAAATCCTTAGTCTTTTTTCTTTCTTTATACTCTCTGATTTTATTTTGAGTTTTCTGCCTTTTTTTAACCCTCAACTGAGTTTTAACTGTGGCCCCAGCACAAGGAGGATGATGTCTCAGTTATGAATCACTTAGCCTCAATCACTGAATTTTAAGTTTCTTTTAAACAAAAGTAAAAATTATATGCACGCATAAAAATTTGTTAGGTAGTATCAATATTTGTTTTGCAATGCCATTCTGATGTGGGCCCTGTGATGTCATTTTTCACACCAATATTCTGTAAATGCACTGAGGGCTTCAAAATCAGACATCAGAGGAGCACCGAATTTAAAGCAAAAAACAGTCTACGTGGTTCCAAAAAAACCTACTTGAATGAAATATTGACAAGGAGAGTGAAGGGGAAATTCCATGCCATAAAAGAAAGTACTAAGAATTCAGTAGCCTATACTAGTTTCTTTTCCCTTAAGACTTGGGAATTTGTTTGGCAGACAATTCAAAATCATATGCTGAAAGAAAGAAAAATCATTAACCTATCCCCAAGCCTCCAGTGACCAGCAAGCCCTTAGGGTTAACTTGCAAGTGTGGAATTTCCAGATCACAAGTACTTTCATTATAAAATTCCATTTCTTAATACAACAATTCACATCAGTAACTATTTACTCTTAGAGTAAATATTTCACTATTTGTTTCCTCTAGCTGAATATGAAAGTTAAAAAAAAAAGAAAGAAAGAAGAAATGTCTAGATACTGACAAAGTAAAGGGTTGTTTTTGTTTGTTACTTAGTTCTAACTGGCAGGTTGCCCATCAAGATTTGCTTCATTATTGTTTAAATGTCCTACATCTATGTAGGAAGTAGATTTGTATCCTTTTAAAACATTCTATCTCTACACCTTCAGAGCTAAGTAAGATAATTTATGAGACTTTAATCAACACTATTACTGCCAGACTTCTTAGGAAAACATTTCTGGAGTTCATAAGAAAGTATCACACTTTTAAAATTTGTTAAGAGCTGTATTTTAATTATTTAACACTTCCACTGTATGTAAAAGAATTTCCTTTTGTTAAAGCTTGACTTCCAAGGTGTCTTCACTATAATGTGAATTAAAAACGATACTTTGAAAACACTGGCAAACCTGCCTCGCAGTTGAAGGTATTTGGCAAAGTTCCAGAAATTAACCCAGCTCCTTCTCATCAGTTAAGAGGATACTTGAACCTTTATTCTTTTATCCACAAAGGAACCCCAGTTTAAAGGACCAATAAATTAAATGTAGGGAGGGGGAGGAGATCCAAGTACCAAAGCACTCACCAGGGACACAAAATGAGACGAGCTTCATTTCACATGTTTACAGGTTAAATTAGGCACCATCAAGACACAACAAACTGCAGAGGGCACAACTGTTTTGACAAACGTGCACTGGTCCTACCTTCATTTCAATGACGGTCTGGAGCGCCTTCGTCTTGGCTGGCTCAGGCTGAAGTTGGCTTCTTCGGTGCAATTCCTGGGGAGGAACACGATAGAAATAAGCCTGGCGGTTCATCCTTCTCTCACACCATGCCCCTTAACACAGGTACTGTGCAGCCCACGGGGTTAAAACGCCTCGTGCACAGACATAAACAAGCCACAGGTGCCTCTGCCCCCACACTCTTCAGCATCCCTCCCGCCGGCAGCCTGCGTGCCGGTGAAACGCTCCTGGCACATGCGCTATTTCTGAAACGTCCATCAATAATTAATGTCAACTGTGACAAAGCCAGCAAGTAATCATAGTCCAAATACTGTTCAACACTGGGGCTGATGCCCAGCCATCAAATCATCATTTACTAAATTGCATTACTCGGTGTTCCCAACACAAACAGAGCAAGGAAAACAGGGGGAAGAAAATGACTAACGTGGTTGCAAACTCGCTGCACGCATGACATTTTGCTCCCGAGGTAGGTTTGCAATGAGCAATTTAAAACCTTTCCAAGTACAACTGTGTCACTTTTCTGGAGTCGAATGAGCTCATGAAAAACCCAGTGCATCTCTTGCTTCCTAGTTTCCTTCCGGATATAGTGTCGGTCCTTGTTCAAAATCACATCAGTGAGTGCTATGTCAATGCACCCGTGATGCCCCGAAATTAAAACTGGCCTTAATAACAACAGTGCTAGAAGAGAGACAAAATGGTTAAAGGTACAGGCAGATGAGATCCCAGATGAGATGGAACATGCCAGACATTTCTTTAAGTGTAAAGCAAACCGCATAATAACAACCTGACTTTCGGGACGATTCCTCCGTTATGCTAAGATATCTAAAAGTTGTCTTGGCAGAATAGAAGTGAAAAAGAGTACTGCTGTTCCATTCATTCTTTTGTTCTCTGAATAAGTATTGGTTTTATGAAAGCTGCCAATTAAAGGAATAACAAGATTGCCCCTACACATCCACCCTGCTGATACAGGATACACATGGAATAATTCCACCAAGACTTTTTTCTGGATCCAGAAAAATAATTTTATATTCAACACAGAGTAGGTGACTGTCAGACATTGTATTCTACCATACTACATATATTTAAATTTAAATATAGAATTGTTGGTGTTGTCGTTGTGTACCTTGAGTTGGAACCAACCCATAGCTGACCCTCAGGCAGGTTTTCAGAGGCAATTATTCAGGAGGAGACGGCCCATCCTGCTCCCATGGAACAAGCAGTGGATTCGAACCATGTGCCTTTGGGATTGCAGTGCAGTTTCTTACCACTAGGCCACCAGAGCTCCCAAACGTATAATTAGATATGTTTGAATTAACTTAATTTTTTAAAAAACTAAGTTAATGGGAGATAGAAAAAATTATCCATTTCCAAGTCAAAGTTACTTTAAAAATAATTCTCCTGTTATCACTACTCTCAGTTCACATTACTGTTCATAAATATAGGATTTAAGAGTGTACAAAAAAATGTAAGAAGTAAATGGAATACCACAGGAAAATATAGGTCTCTTTAGGAAAAAGTACACAGGTAACCTCTGGGCCACATTTTATTACATTTTCCCTATCTGCCAGCAACCCAAGAAGTCTAAGTCATGGACAATAGTGTACATGTCCAGGGACCAACTTCGGGAACTAGCACTATAGGTCTGGAGAGGGAAGTGGCAAGAGGTAGGGAAGCATCCAAGAGGCATACAAACCCTCAAACCTGTGAGAAATGACTTCTCAACCTTTGATTCTAGAATTGGCCTTTGTCATAATTATTCTAATTCTTCCACACAACTTAAGCCATTTTGCTATCTAACTTATGTTTTGGTTTTTGGTTGTTTGGGGGTTTTTTTGTATATTTCTTTTTTATTATTATTAATTTCAATGAACATCTAACGAGATTTTGGACTTCCATTCATTCATTGTTGCACTTTTCTCCCTGTCCACTCCACCCCCACCCCCAATTCACTCCTCTCCTTGAAAAGCAAAAGAAAAACTCCTTCATTGGTACACAATCCCCCAGCACACCCACACCCCCACACCCACCCCGAGTATACTCTTCTCTGCAACCCTCGTTCCGGACTCTTATAATAATCATAATGCCCTAAAATATATTACTTTTAAACTATTCTTTCCCTTATCGGCTTCAATGCAGTATACATAATTTATCCAGTTTTTCTCAGTCTTACCCCGACCCTGATGTCAGCCTCATTCTACAGCAGTGGCACTATGCAGTATTTGTCCTTTTGTGACTGAGATATTTCACTCAGAATAATGTCCTCCAGGGTCACCCATTTTGAATAATATTGCATGAGTTCCTTGTTTTTCAATGCAGTGTAGTAGTCCATTGTGTGAATATACCACAGCTTCTCTATCCATTCATTTGTTGATGGGCACTTAGGTTGTTCCAACTCCTTGCTAACTTATGTTTTTAAGGGACAAGTTTGACTAGAATCTACAGAAAGAGCACTCGTGTCATTTTGGAAGTCTTGGGCTATGATAATGTTCAACAATGGTCATCAATAGGTTCCCTGAGAATTTCTAAAGGGACTCTGGCCAACTTCTCAGCAAAAAGGAATGGCCAAGAAAGGAGGTTTCATTTATTGGACACCTACCATTTACCCAACATTCATTTTGTCTCTTTCAAGAAGACTTGCAGGATAAGTCTAGTGGGGTGCTGGTAAACACTTAACAACTAGCACCTCCCATGACCATCCTCAAACTACCCACGTAGAGTTACTGAGTCTGGAGTATGAAATAAGTGGAAGACTTCATTGGATAGAATTTCCACCATAGGGATCATCTCAAGAGACAATGTTAACATTCAGTGAAAAAAAATTCTAAGTGGGGAGTTTTAATAGACTATTTAATTGTGACTTAATACATTTAATCTGTTTCATAAGTCATTAAAACGAATTTCAAAAATTCTGCTTCCATCAACCAATACAATCTAATGACTTATACCATTGTCTGCATCCCATAGGACTTCAACTTTCCCAAAAAGCTTCTTAACTCGTATCATGACTTCCAGGATTTTTTGTGTTTATGAAATGTTATCGTATGGAGGAGAGAAGGAAAGGTGAATGTTGCAGTTGCATCATGGTGAGGGGCAGAAGAAAAGCAGATTCAGAAGCCACCAATTATCTAATACCAGGCAGCATCACTTAATGAAGAAAGCAAGAGATTCTCAGTAATTCTACAGCACAGCCAATTAAAGTTAAAGAATGAAAATCATAAGACAATTTGAGACAAGGGCTACAACTTGTATAAAACAAATAAAAATAATCAAGAAACAACTCTGGAACACAGTGAAAATATGAACCACAGGGCAAAGTCATGTGCGGTGAGAGTTTCTGCCAAACATGAAAAATATTTTTAAGGACAAACATGCAATAAAAATAGCTATACTTGTAACAAAAGTTTGGCAAAAACGAACACAGAGTTCTTATTGCTATAATTATACAAATTCTATTATAATATAAACCAGCTCAAAATCCAACTTGCTCGAGGTTGCTCCCTCAATAAAATAAAGGCTCCAATTATCCAAGAATTATAATTTTCACATCTAACTCTGCTCATTTGGGGTTTTTAATTTTTTTTTCCAATTCTAACTTCACAGTTTCTGAAGTAGCCTTCAAATCCTAACATAACAGGTAAGTGAAGACTGTAACCTTCAAGGAGACATGATGTGCACATAAAAGGCCATCATCGCCCACCTTCTCAGAGATTTTGAATGCTTGTAATGCTCACTGACTATGCTAGGATAGAAGTTTCAAACCCAAAGGCATGCACAAAAGTTATTTTAAAATGTGATTGCTTGTCAATATTTGTTTCTAAACAAAACAAATGCTGACTATGGTAGAGTTGATCAACTGGCCACAAGACTGCTTTTTTTCATAGTGTACAGCTGTTGCTGGCAAGCCCTCTTTTCAACCTCTTTGCAAGATGGGTCCATGTGACTTATTTCTGGCCAATGCAACATGGGTGGAAATGTGGGGTTCAACTTTCAGGTTTGATCTATAAAAACCTTCGACTTAGCAGTAAGAAGCTGTGCTGCAATCCCAAAGGAAGGCTGTTCAAATCCACCACCATGGGAAATCTCTTCTGTGATTAACTGCCTCTGAAAACCCACTGGAGGGTCAGCTATGGGTTGGTGCTGAGTTGATGGCACACAATAACATGCTCTTATAGGGAGTTTTGGTAGCCTGGTGGCAAAATACTGTACTTCAAACCCAAAGGCATGCAGTTCAAATCTATCAGCTGCTCTATAGGAAAGATGGGTAATTTCCCCCTGTGCAATTTATAGCCTCTGAAAACCCAGTGAAAGGTCACATGTAGGCCTGTTCCAACTCTAAGATACACAATAACAACAATGCCGTTACAGGAAGTACTGGCGGTATAGTCTATAGGAAACTGTAGAGCTACCTCCAAGCTGCATCTCTCTGGTAACTGGAATCTACCAGCTATTCTGTGAGAGAAAGATGGGCAATCTTATCCCTTTGAAAACCCACTGGAGGGTCAGCTATGAATGTGCTCTAATGCAACAGCAAAAAGTATGAGTTAATCCACTGTCAGGGTTCTAGAGTACTGAAAAGCAATGATGTCAGTCTAGAGACTAAGGTGTGCCTGACCCAGGCCATGGTCTTCTCAATTACTTGCTATACATCAGAGAGCTGGACAATGACTAAGGATGACAGAAGAATTGATGCCTTTGAGTTGTGGTGCTGGAGAAGAGTATTAAATATACCAGATTGCCAAGAAAACAAATAGGTTTGTCTTAGAGAGCGTGAAACAAAGTTTCTCCTTGAAGGCTAGGATTTTGAAGCTCCATCTGACATACTTTGAGCATGTGGCCAGGAGAGACAGATTGCTGGAGAAGGACATCATGCTCGGAAGGGAGGAAGGACAGATGAAATGGATTGATACAGTAACTAGAACAAGGAAGGTAGGTGTGTCGTAGTTAATGAGACTGGCTAAGGACAGAGCACGCTTCAGAGCTCTTGTACATAGGGTTGCTATGAGTCGCAGGTGACTGGACAGCACATAACAACAACG